CGGGGGGTCCCGCACTCGGCAAATATTTACTGGGTGACGGCAGGGGCCGGCCGCCTCCCCGCCTCCACCGGCCCCGCTGTGCCCCGCAGCCGCACGCTGACGGCCGTGCACGACGCCATCCTGGAGGACCTGGTGTTCCCCAGCGAGATCGTGGGCAAGCGCATCCGCGTGAAGCTGGACGGCAGCCGGCTCATCAAGGTGCACCTGGACAAGGCGCAGCAGAACAACGTGGAGCACAAGGTGGGGGCTCGGTGGGGCTCGGGGCGGCCGCCGCCCGCAGGGCCCCTGGCCCAGGCCTAGCGCTGTCCGTCCTCCCCAGGTGGAGACCTTCTCCGGCGTCTACAAGAAGCTCACGGGCAAGGACGTCAACTTCGAGTTCCCAGAGTTCCAGTTGTGAGGCAGTGACTGAATAAAGCGGCTTCTGCTCAGGCCTCCGCGTGGGAAACTGGCGTCGTGCGAGCGCGAGGGCCAGTGAGGCGCCTCTGGAGGTTCCGCTGCGCGACCAGGCCTGGCACCGCGGCTCGCCTCTGAGGCCACGTCTCCGCTTCACCGGGGGAAGTCCCCACAGTGGCCAGCGAGCCCTCTGGGTCTAGGGGCAGGCGGCTCCTCGTGGGCTCCCCCTACCGGTCCGGCGCCCCTGCCCAGCCGGCTCACGGCGGGACCCTCAGCGCAGGCGGGGAGCAGCCGGCACAGCCCCCACCTGTCTGTGGGGCTGGGAGACCTGGGCAGGGCTCGCCCTGAGCCCACAGTGAGCAGGGGGCTGCGGCGTGCGCCCCCCCCCGCGGCTCACCTGCAGCCTTGGACACAGGCCTCTGCGGCAGGGGCGCTGGGCAGAGGCCTCGGGTACAGCTGCGGCCATCGGCCTGCCGTGGGCGGGCGGTGGGGCTGAGTGGACCCTGGTTTCTCGGCTGCTGTCCCCGAGGAAGCCCCTGCACCACCAGGGCAGCCCCGCGGGGAGTCCTGGGAGGGGGACGGTTTCCGGGCCATGGAGCTGAGGCTGCAGCATGGTACTGGGAGGGGCGGACACCCCGCCTCCGCCCCGCCCCCCCCAGACCCTGCGTCCCAAGGCACTCCCCAGGCAGCCCCTGTAGCACCTCTGGGCATGGGTGGCTCGTGGAAGGCCATGGGCAAGCCTGGCCTCCCTGGGGAGGAGACCATGCCGCCCGCACCTCAGGCAGCTCAGTTCTCACTGGGGGAGGGGCAGGGGGTGCAGCTTCCTGCCACCTGTGCCTGGGCACCACTGCTGGTGGCCTCGTGCTCCCTGGACGTCACTGCCCCTCTGCAGGCCGGGAGCCCCTGGCACCTTCATTAGGGACCGGACAATAAGGACCATGGGCTGGGCCTCGGGCCAGTCTGACTAGCAGCAGGCTGGGGTCACCCTCTGTCCCCCCCACCCCCAGACCTGGGTCAAGTGGATCCACCCACCAGTGCCCCTTGGGTTGGATGGTCAGAGCCCTGTTTGGGGGCTGCTGGGGTGTCCTTACCCTTTACTCTCCAGTCAAGGCCTTCCCGGCTGCTGTCTGCCCTGGAGGTCACTGGGGCCTCTGCCTGGGAGGGGGTCCCCGCTACCCACAGCCAGGTCGCCATTGCCCCCTGGAGGCCCTGTGCAGGGCCTGGCCTCAGCGTGTCCGCAGCTGCGGTGGGGGCTGCGCCTGGGAAGGAGGCCGGCCTTCCTCGCAGGGGCTGCAAGGGTGAGCGCCCTTGTGGGCAGAGTCCCGGTCAGTGGCCTCCAGGGAGAGTTCCCATCAGAGACCTGGCCTGGTCTCCAGGCTCCTCAATTATCTGTGGGAAATGGTAAACAGTGCTGGAGGATCCCTGGGGCTCAGCGGTCAGTGGTCGGAGGCCACTCCCAACAAGAAGCCTGAGAGGCCAAGCTGCCCCCGCCCCAGGGCTGGGCGCCCCTCTGTTTGCAGGCGCTCCTGGGTTCCCCTCCCTTAATGCCGAAACGTGGGAGACGGGCCTGCCCCACGGTCCTCTCCTGTGTCCCCCTGGTCCAGTCTCCTGAGGGCCCACTGCCCTGCTCTGCTGTCACATCGGGGTGCAGCCTGGGGAGCCCGTGCTGCTGGCGGGAGAGGCCGGGCCTCTATGCCCCACAGAGCTGGCCTCACCGGCTGTTGGGGCAGCCCGAAGGCGGCGTCTCCTGTCCTGTTGAAGGCTCGGATGCAGCCAGGGTCTCTGAGGTGGCCGAGGGGTGCTCAGCACGACGGATGCAGGGGCCCGGCCGCACTGGGGGCGTCGCATGGTGCTTCTGTCACCCCCTCTCCCCCTACAGGGTGCTGTCCTGGGGTCACTTCCAGAACTGGCCTAACATCACCCAGGGACGCCGAGCTGGGCCTGCGGCTGTCTGGGGTGGGGGCGATGGCCGGAGGCCGCCGGCTGGGCAGGGGCCGTGGACCCAGGGAGTCCTGGGCCCGGGCCGAGCGCCCGGGAAGACCCCAGGCGTGCTGGCCTGAGCCGCCCGAGGATGGGCTGGCCGCGGCCCGTGCGCCAGGACGTGTTTCTGGAGTGACCGCGGCAAGCTGGAGCCACAGTGGCCCCGGGGGCCTTCCCAAGGCGGCCGGCGGGGCCTCGGGCCCCAGCGCAGCTCTGGCCGCGACAAGTGTCCTGGAGGGCCGCGGGCGGCGTCTGGCAGGTGGCCGCTGTGCGGGACGGTGCAGCGGCCCTGGCCTGGGCTGCGTCATTGCTGGCCTTGCCGAGAGGGCTACACAGCCTCGCGCGGGCTTGGTTTGTTTTTTTATAACAGTTTATTTTTACATCATTTTGTGCATTTTTTTAAAATACGGAAGGCGTCACGAGTTTGAGTGTCATCCTTGCGCAGGGCCATGCTAATCTCTTTCGTTCCAATTTCAGTATACGCGCCGCCGAAGCGAGCACAGGGTTTTTTTTTTTAAATTAAAAACACTTAAAAATTTTGCTTTTGGGTCCTCCCTGGTGGCGCAGCGGGCTAAAGCACAGCACTGAGAAGCTGAAGCCGCTTCCGCATGAGTTCGATCCCCGCCTGCCCTGAGGTGACCACAGGGCGCGGCAGCCCTCTCCTGACCCGCCCGCTGCTCCCCTCAGCAGTGGGCTCCGTCCATCTGCCTGTCCTGCTCCCCACTCTGTCTCTGGGGAAGCCTCTCACTGCCCCTGAGCCTCTGGCCTGTACCCCAGTTCCATATGAATAAATAAATATTAAAAAATAAATTTGCTTTTGTGTAAAAGAGCTGGGGTGCAGGCCAGAGCTGGGGTGCAGGCCAGAGCTGGGGGACAGGTGGGGACTGGAGACAGGAGCTGAACAGGTGGGTCCACTAAACACTGCCGGCGGGGCAGCGGGGAGGCCGGAGGGGTCTGCTGCGTCCCGGGCCCCTCCCGGCCGCGGTCGACTGGGCCGCAGTGCTGACAGCTTGACACTGACCACCGGCCACCGGGAGCCCAGGTGACCTTGAAGGCCAGTCGGCAGACGGCTGTTTTACGTGGCTTGCCGTGGAGTTTACTCTTACCATTCCGCCCTTTGGGAAGAGGGTGCGGCGGGAGGTGGGTCCCCCTGGGGCGCTGGGGGGCGGGGCGGAGCCACCTGAGGGGCAGCGCTCCTGGCCACGCGGAGGCCCTGGGCGGGGCCCTGTGTGCACCCACGCCGCCGAGGGGAGAGGGGGGCGTCCTGGCGGCCTGCTGGTCTCCTGCTGGGTGCGGGGGCCGTGCGGGGTTTCCAGGGTGGACGCTCTGCGGCCTGTTGGCGCGTCCCTGCCTGAGCCGGCCTTTCCGAATTCGCGCACTGTGGGAGGTGGATCTGTCAAAGGCTTGTCTGCGTCGTCGGCTGACGGCTGACGGGAGGCGGGGTCCTGGGCGCGCCCTCCTGGCGGCCCGGCGGGAGGGGGGGCGGTGG